TTTTTTTACGAAATATATTTTTTATGATGAATTTTTTTGTTTATCATTAAATATGTATGCATCTGTGACTATTTTTTTAGATCTGTCACAATTGTGATAAGTTATAGTACTGATTTCAAAATTCATCACAAATTTCTGTCACCAAAAATCATTTTACTTGTAGTGATTGTTAGAAGAAAATCTATATGCAGTACTTCTTTTGTAACTTAGTAGCCTATGGAGCTTTCTGAATAAGTTTATGTTGTTAACCTTTGAACTTATTGATGAACTTGCTGAGCATTTGGTTGGCTAGTTAGGTATTAGAAGCATGATTGGAAAAATAAAAATGAATTAAATAGATGAAATATTACTCCTTAGCGGGCTACATTTTAATGATTCAATAAAATTAGTTTTTCAAAAATAAAAAATCATGCATATATGTTTCTGTCATAGCCAACTGTCTATAAATGGAAAGAAGGTTCAGTGATAGGAGTAATTTCCATAAATAAATCCAGTCTAAGCATCCAAAAATCTATAATAAAATAACGGTGCTATAAGGATAACTTTTTTATATTACATTTTGATACACCTTTTACATCTCATTAATGAGTGAATACATTTAATATCACGGGATCCACATGAATAAAAAAACCAATCATATAAATGACTCGTCAGGTTGTACAAAAAAATAGGACAAAAAAATTTTCCTAAAATCATTTCCCATGATAAAACATAAAAACCAATGGGCTGATCCATATTAAACTCACAAAAGCACCAAATCATGGATTATCTATGGACAAAATGAATGTCGTTGAATGGATTCATTTGTTGAAGAACAGAGGGATAGTAAATGGTGTGCTGTCAGATAGAGATCAACAATCACGATAATACCACCACTTCATACAGCAAGGGAGACAAAAGAAAACAAACACATCGAATCCCAACCATTAGGAGGGAGGAAAGCTGCACAACAGGTGGCGTGAACCCTGAGCCAGAAAGGATAAAAAACCACATTGTGACAGCATATACCCTCAACGGCCATAAGTAACCAGACAACGCTAAGGTAGCTCATGAGCAATGCCATGTACGAAGTGTTGTGTACTAGGGCGCTACTGCTTCTACCTATTACAAAGGCACAGCTATTGAGCCATCACAAATATAGAAACAGATATAAAGGCTGCACTACAAAATTATGCATTCAAATTGTAGTTTTTAGCTTATGGAGTCCTCTGGGGCACCAAGTTTTTCTGTTCACAGTTTTGGATCTGCAGTCATAATTCTTTATAAGATAAGAAGAATCTGCTTCCACTTGTAAATTTTTTGCATTTCTGGAAGTTAAGCCCATAAAGGCATCCCAGATGCAATGCCAATGCTTGTTTCTTGACATAGAATCCTAGCCAAACAAAAAATTATTTGTCAAATTTCACAGTAAAGTTCTGTCTGCAAAGTGCAACATGGTTTGGAAACAAAGTACACCTTAGATGTAAATGTCTGATTCTTACCTTGACCATCTGGTGACTTCAAATGGGAAGTTTGATTAGGGCTTGGCAGACAGGGTAGCTTTCACTTCCTATATTAACAGGATCAAGAGTTCAGAGGCCAAGCCCTTTTATCATGTGATAAAAATTTGCTTTAGGAGCATTGGTAGGAGCACCCTGTTTCACCTAGGATCTTCTGTCCATATTGTTGGTTTATGTAAGACATTTATAGCCTCCAATTGCCCCAAGGGCGTTCTCTTTCTTTGTTCATAAAAAATAGTATATTGGCAACTTCAGAAGTAAGCAAAAAAGAATCCTTTTTTCTTTACCTATGAAACATTGCTTCCTCATGTCCTGTGAACTTTAAGCCCCTTCGAAATATCACAAGGGAAGAGAAATCCCTGCAATATCCTTAACATGATTCCAGCAATATATCAGCTAGGAATTTCTGTGCAAATATCAAAAACCAATCTGTTAATCTCCTCAGCACTAGTTATCCACAGATTTGGAATTTGGTTAAGGTCACAATCAGTAAATTAAACAATGAAGGCTAGCTTGGAACTAAGATATCTACATTGCAAGCAATACAATCTACACCTTCCAACTTTGTTATCGCATCACATAAGGTACAAAGAAATACCAACTAACAATTTAAGGAGACTAAGTATTTCTCTCACAGATCTTAGATAAAGATTTTAACTATGTCATGAAGCATTTCACAAAAGCATTTCATAAAGGGACTAACAATGAATTGTATCCAAATTAGACAATTTAAAGTTCAACCAAAATCAAAGAAGAGGTGCTGGGTAGAGATGCTAAATGTTTCATATTAAAAAAAATGAAGTAAAATATTTTAAATTGTTAATCATGAAGGTGTATTGCCTTCTCCTATTCATGCTCCATAATCCAGCCAATGAAATATCAGATATCAGAAGAGCATTACAACAATCCATTCAAAGGAAAAGGATCATGACTGCAACCAGTTTATTAATATTGAGTAAAACTTGGTCATGACCCGTAGACATTTTCCCACGATATTGGTTTCAAAATGAAGGCCAAAATACCAAATAAAGTTTATACGAATACAACAGCAAATTATGGAAGGTACAGCACCAAGATAAGTTCCCTTAGCGTAAACTTATTTGTCTTTCCCTCTGTCACATGCATGTTAGAAATTATTCTACGCTTCTTAAAGTTAACAATTCCCAGGATTTTTATATGGATGTACCTTTCTAAAGAGTCAAGAAGAAATAACTAACCAAAGGATGCAAGTAGAGTATCATACATTTCGAGCAAAAATAAAGATGAAGTTTTTTAACTCACAGGGAATGGAAGCAAACAAAATGCTGAAGGAAAACAATGATTTGCTGCAACCAGAAGCAGACAAACAGCATAAAGAAATCTGCTGCAACCTTCTCACCTTAAAATCCATTTCTCTACAACTCTTGCTGGTAAAGTAACAATCAATGAAATGAATAGTTTTATTCTCTGATCTGGGCACTCTAAATTACAAAATCAACTTTAATTTACATATTAAAGATTTTAAGTTATTTTATATATTAAAAATTTTAAGGTTTCATGCTTTCTCAACCATAAAAAATTTAAATTTATATATTAAAAATTTTAAATTCAAATGTTGAGACAAAAGAAGAGGGGTGTATGATTGAGGGGTATCCTTTTGTTTATGATTATTTATGTTTCGTTTACAATCATACACTAATATTATAATGGCCTTTAATATAATGGTAAAGCTTGATGTCTCATAATGAAAAATATCCCTAAAGGTGCAGGAAAAGGCAATTATATGGGAGAACCAAAAAAGCCTTTTTGATGGTAAAAAATACCTTATATTAAATGCATAATTAACCTAAATTCTACATCATTCTACTACAATTACAACAAAATTGCAAAATAACCCCAAATTACATCAAAATTACCAAACAAAATCAAGATAATGGAAATTAGACTTCCAAGGACTATTTTTCCATGATAACATCTAGTGCTCAACATTTTGACCCATGAAATCAGGTTTCAGCCTGTAAGATAACCATTGTCATCCTTGGCATCCTTCTTCCTTACAGATCTTAACAAGTGAAGCCGCCAACAAGAGTTTGGTCATACTGCTTTTCTATCTTGTCAAGCTTGTTCCATTTTGGAACAATAGTAAATACCTTCCATCCCAACTTCACTGTTCAATCTCTCCTTTTCTACAACTTCAAACTAGTCACCAGTTTCATGCTTGCTTTTCTCATCCCTGTAACCTGATGCCTTTCCACTTCGACCCATCATGAAAGGCTCAGGCAAAGAGTTGTCAGCATGCATTTCAAGACCATGATAAGATCGAGTCAAGAAAAACTCTGCTCCAGATTTTGCTGTTCCACCAACAAGTTTATTAGAGCTACTGTCACGCAATTGCAGAGCCTTCTCTGCTGTGTTAGCTAATGCAAGGGTTCCATCCTCCTCTTCCTCTCCATTCTCTGTTCACATAACATTTCATACAAAATTAAGGCAGCTAGGCAAACTGTGTTGTTGTGGTAATATAGACTAGAAAACCAAGTTGGCAGTCCTCCTAATTTTGCAAGCAAAAACTATATAATACCTATAGGCTCCTATTTTTAAAGTCATAGGGTATAATAAAAAAATTTATAAATTCTTAAAAAAGAAATAATCTATTGAAATCACAATCAGCCGGTGTCTAAAGCAACTTTGGCCTCAAACTGAAAAAAAGTTTCACCTACAGGCACAGGGTAAGGCTTCGACTGCAACTGTGACCATTTATTCCCAAATAGCGCTGGAGAGATTCCAACTTGAGTTTTCAACAAGGTTCACTTCAGATCTTACCATTAGAGCTACAACCCCAATGGATTTCA